ACACTGCCTCTGTTTAAGTAAAAGAAAAATTCCCATTACCACTGCAATTAGATTGAATTGGAGATGCTCCAGTTGTGAAAGATTTTTTAAAGGTAGAACTAATAAAACTTTATGCTTTTTGTTTGTTTTGCTTCTGTTTGTTGAATATCTTAAATATTAACCTGTACTATCCTTGTTAGATGCCCTAGCTCCACTTTACCTCGAAAAAGATTCAGTGCTGGAAGTCTCCAGTTACTGGGTAGCCATTACATTTAACTTTAATTCTTTTTTTTTCCAAGGTAGAAGAACTTAGAAAATTTTTTTAGTTAAAACTTTATATAGTTAATGCACCATAGCTTAGAGATACCCATTTAACATTTGGTGGTGTATAGTTGCATCTTATGCACAAGATTATCCTTTCAATCTTAGTAGATAGTCATTCTGGGTCTAGTTTCTCAATATCCCTCCATAGTAGTTGGGCCAAATCACTAAATTCAATGGAAGTGGGAGATGTCCTCTCGTTTCCAAGCAGCCTTTGTAACCTAGTTCTCCTAATGTTTTTTAGTCCTCATATGGATGAAGTTGTCTTTGTGCTTAGTCAACCTGCTTTAGCACAGCAGTTAACTTCTGTGGAGTAGCATTCCACCTTATTTTAAATGGGTCAACTTGCTCAGTGCCTGAGATTCCAACCCTGCCACAGTACCTTCCCCATTGCAGTAAGAGAGGAAGGGTTGATATAATATTGATGCCAGCAGTCACTGGGACTAGGCAAAATATTTTTTGTTCTTGGCTCATATGCATATATATGGCACTCCCCATGTTAAAACAACCTTTTCCATACTGGTTTCTTTATTAAGAGTGCTGGAGTTAGACATTATTCTGAGATGTCTGATAGTACTACAGGGGTCTTCTAAGTAGACTATCCCATTAGTAGTTATATCAGTATATATTGTCATTATGTGAATGGGATCTGAACCATACAGTCATTTTGGTGGGGTCTCTTAATGATATCATGAAAGTGTACAGCTATGGCTATTCTTTTTTATAATTAATCTAGATAGTTTACACATACTACTTGCTGTTTCACTACCTTGATTCCTCATCTTTCAGTTATGTCAATCCCTAAAATGAAAAAATGCGAATCCAGTTTCACCAAAATAAGAGTAGATCCCTATTTTTCTGTCCCTTACACCAATACAAGGAATCTATATACCAATTTTCCAGTGGTTGGACTGTATTTTCAAAGCCTTAAGATTTTACCTAGAACCTTAATCCTGAATTATCTCCAAATTTTGCAAAGTTGTTTAAATGCAGCCTGAAAGAGAAATGTTTTCTTCAAGAATGCTGATGAACGTTCATCAACATCACAGTATCGCCCTATCAGTCTCCTTTGTGCCATTAGCAAACTGAGTTTATTATTAATAAGGTGTTAGTTTCTCAGCTTATCAAAAACAACCTCCTGATCAACAAATAGTATGGGTTTCTCTGCTGCTGATGCTTTACCTGCCACAGAATCAGTGAAATGCTTGATGGTAGCTTAATCAGCAAAACAACTATTTTGGATATCTTTGACTAGATATACAATAGGGTTTTGTTGCATAAACTCTCCAGCTATGGCATCTCTGGAAGAGTTTACACAGTCATCAAATACTTTCTCTCAGATAGGTCTATGAAGACCACTGTGAATAGCCAGTCTTCTGAAGCTCGTGAGTTTAATGTAGGCATCCTCCAATGTTCTCTCTTTAGTCCTACCATCTTTCTGCTTTTTACTAACAATCTGCCTAAGAATTTTCTCATATCATTAGTAAGGATCTATGCAAATGATACCATAATTTATGGATGCACTTCTAAAAATCACAATGGCTAGCAGCAGAGATTTCCTATGACCTAACTCTAACAGCTCAATGGAGAAAAATGGCTTGTAACTTTCATCATTGCTGATTTGACAAAATTTTCACCAGTTAGATTGTATTCTCAATGAATGCTTTGAATGCCTGTTGGCTCTCAAGTTTACAACAGACCTCATATATACAATCTACTCCAAAAGAGGCTGCATTCTATTGCTCCAGTAAATACCCAACTCTTTCTGCTATGCTTTATCTTTATAAAAGTCAAATTAGACCAAAAATGGAGTATTGCTGCTATATCTGCATTGTAGCTGTTCAGTTCTCATTTTCCAGTCTTTATAGAATTCAAAATTATTTATGAAAATTTGTAAGGGAAGACATATTTTCTACTTCACAGCCTCTTTCCCAAAAATACAACATCACAAACCTTTTATGACAAATGTTCAGATACACTCTCTTCTTTTGTTCAACCAGTTCTGACATTTACAGTGAGGATATATTATGCTACTTCCACAGAATCAAATCATCCTCATTTCCTACATGTTTCAACTATAAAAAGAAAGTTCCATTCAGCTTTTTACCAAGAACTGGAAAAAAATCTTGTTCTGTTTCCCTGAACACAACAATCTTAACTTCTCCAAGTCAAAAGTCAGTTGCTATTTATCCCTATTCTCTTTATAATCTTTACTTTCTGCCAGCTCCTTTTTCTTTAATATAATAAATCTCATTCATGATAACCATTTTAACAGTAATCCTCTGCCTTGAGTGGCTTCCATGCTTTGTATTTGATGACCTTTAGTATTAAAACAAAATAGTTTTCTTAAGTATATATTCAGGATACAAATTAATTTGCACAAAAATCACTTTATTTTTATCACTTTCCCTTTTGAATAAACTGTTTGTAGAAACAATAAACTTTTTCAAATACTAATTTTTTTCAATTATATTAAATGTTTTAGCATAATACTGAAAATAACTGCATGAACGGAGGTTTTCTCAGGGAAGCACCATACCTTGAAAGACTGTTGGGCCTCAAACTCACACCTGACCTCAAGTAGAACTCGTACATATGATCTATTACTAAGCATGCAGGTCAAGTGGTTGTCTCTCTGTACCACTCAAGTAAGTACTTGACTCCTCCTGCTATACCCTAGCTTTAAAAGAGCTAGATCAGGCCATAAATGGAGGGCTGTTGTCATATTTGGGTGAGAGCTGCCCAGACCTCTCTCCAGTCTTGATAGTTCAAAAGCATCTATGAGCACATAGATAACAAATTATTCTCCGCCCTTCAACCCCTCTCCCACAGGAGGGATTTGGCAAGCCTCTTGCTACTCTACTGCTATTTCCATGGAAAGTGCTTAAACAAATTACATTCAGTGATCCCACCAAGGCAAACCTTCACAGCAAGAACATGCCAAGCCACTTACATAGTAGCAAACCACCTACATTCCCTCTATTCCATCAGTGGGAAGTAAGTTCCACTTGAGCAACTATTTCCCATGAACCTGTGATGCGTGTTCTTAGCACATATATTTATTGTACATTTAACAATTCAAGAAAAAACAACGAAACTCCATATGTGGATCAAAAAATAAATATATATTGAAATATAACATACAAAACAATCATGCAATGAAGTGTAATGATTAAGGAGAAAAAAGTTGTTCCCCTTCAATTGTATTCTGATTTATGATTGAATATTCGAAAGAGTTTCTCTTGAATAAGAATGTTCAGGATTCTATGTTGAATAGAGTCTGCTGTTAGAATAGAATACAGTTAATTAAGAAGTGTGTTGTTTTGAGAAATTAATAGAGTGCTGGTTCATGAACTTGGCTGAGTCATAGAGAGAGATATGTATAATGTGTTACAAAAATCTGTGTCTGTGTGTGCGTTTGAAATGTTGTGAGTAAAGTCGTAGATTTTTGTGGACAGGTGAAAATAGCTGGACTCTACTGACCGCACGGTTAAGACGGGAGCTCTTGAAGACTACATCTTGGCAGCAAGGAAAAAGATGAATGAAGAGAACAAGAGAGAGGCTTATTCGTGTTTTGTTTATATAACAGGCTCCAAGGCTTGTGCGCGGGAAAATTATTCCTCGCGTATAGGTAATTTGATTGGTTGCAATTGACCAATCAGCAAGCTAGTTTTGAGGAGATTAGCCAATGAATGCTTGCTGTATGATCTGTTTGTATGTATGTGTGATGGCGATAATGATTGCTACAAACCGCTACCCTGTGGAACCAACACCCAACAGGATGTTTCCCTGATCACTATAATCTTCAGCTGTTCCAGGCTAGGATTAACTATTATCTTCCACTCCTATACACACCACAAATGGCCTCTAAGCATAACCCTCTACCTTCAGTGTCTGCTGAGCATTGTAAATAGTGAACCTTACTGTAAAAAAAAAAAAATAGTAATAAAACATAATTGATATAGATAGATCATGAATTGAGATTTATAGTTGTGATAAAAATTACAATAAAAGTTTTTAAAATAGAGAATATTGATAGGAAAAAACTGATGTCAACTGAATCCAAGCAGGTGGAATTAAAATAGAAAAAAAATAAATGAGAACATTTTAAAAAACAGATAATTGAAGATTTAATCCCTAAAATAGAAAATCTAAAACAAAGAAGGCAAATTTAAATAATATCTAAATACTAAAATTATAAATAATGAATTTATAACTCAATCTACCTTAGTACCAAAGGAAAAATAGACACTTGACTAAATTACACATAAAATGACAACAAAGCTCAAATAAAGTTGCTGAGAACAAAAAACTGAATATCAAGAAAACAACCTCAATCCTAGCATACCTTAGTGACTAAATTAAATATGTACTATTAACTCTCCTTTATCACCGACTAAAGTTTAGTTGGTGATAAAGGAGAGTTAATATTTAATACACAATATTTAATATTCATGACGCAAAACAATAAACATTTTAATGTTTTCATATTGTTGTCAATAGAAAAGAATCAATTTTTATCAAATTATTTTCCCTCTATGAGTTTGTTCCCAACTTATACTATACTAAAGAGGCATGTCCTATTTTGACCAATGACTGTCGTTCTTGTTTTATTTGTAGGATAGTATGTTTTTTTAATTGCTCAAACTATTTTGTAACCTTCGATTAAATAAACACTTTCTTATTCTCCGGGGAGTGAGTGAGTGAGTGTTTAAAAGAAGAAAGAAAGAGTAATTGCGATTACTTGGAAAAAAATACGAAAACACTAAACAAGATTTTGAAGGTAAGTTTTTTTTTCTTTACGTTTATTTGTTTTCTATTATCAACCCATGTTGAAATCTTCAATCGAACCTACGACTAAGTGTGTGGTGACCACAATAATTTTTCTATCATTATCATGATAATTTAACTGATTCGACTCAAGCTTGCTTAGCTAAAAAAAATTGTTTAAAAACAAAAATAAAAAATTTTAACATAAAATATGGTAAATAAATACATACCATAAAGTTTTTTTTTTAATCGTGATCCCTGAAAAAACAAAAAGCAGAAACTAATAAAGTAAAAAAAAGAATATTTTTAAAAAAAGGTAATAATAATGTTCATTGAGTAGCTTGATTTATTTTTATTTTAAATTTTGTCGTGAATTATCCCCATAACATCGATGAAATTGAAAGAAAATCTATGTCAGTCGTCAAGTGTAGATTTTTTGTAAATTTTAAAATTTATATGCGAAAAATTCCATTTCAACTGTATTGAAACATCAAAGAATTGTAACGGAATGAGCCCCATAACATTTACGACAAATGTTTGTGGGTAGTGTGCACAAAACGTGTGATGACTGGATAAAATCAGCGAGTTTTGCACAAAATCTACTTATCTTTTCAGTGCATATTGTACATTTAAAAGTTTAAATTTCCATCCTAATTTACACTGTCCTTTTATCCACACTTAGTAAAATAAAAATAATGTCATGCAAGTGAAGTATTATTTTATTCTTCATCTTTCCACTGCAAAAAAAAAAAAAAAAAAAAACCCAATTTGTCTTCTGTAAGCTAAGCAGTTTCTCACGTCAGCTGAAAAAAAAGTTTCAATCTGAATTTTGTTGTACGTTTTCTGCTCTAATCGCCCTGCCCCCCCCTTAAAGTTGTCTTAAATTGTTTACAGCAATTTACAATTTACATGTCCTGAGAAACTACTGTTGATGGCATTTTAGTTTTTATGTCTTCGATAAAGTTTTCTTTTTTTTTAGATAGATATTTTCACATCCAGATTACTTCACAATTCACATTTACAATTAAATTAAAAATCTTTTTTTTTTTAATTCTAACGTGGATGTGACATTTATTGTAACATTTTTAAACCGAACATCAGCAGAACTAAAACGCATCTGTTTATTGCAATTTTTTAAAAGTTTTATTATTAATTAATTAACATTTAACATCGGCAAGTTTTGTAAGGAGGTTCAAAACAAAGATAAAATTTTGTTTACAGAACATGCCATCTGCGAAAAAAAAGTTTTTGACTTACAAAACTTACAATGTAACAATTTGTTAATAACCGTGTAGTAATTATTTGCTGATTTTACACAAAATTTATCAAGGAGAAAGAAAGGTATTTTCTTGCTTTAATTCAAATTAAACTTAATTTCTGTCGTTGTTAAAGCACTTTCATTCCAAAATTGTATTGTAATGATTTCTTAGTTAATCACTTATGAAGTTTGCTTCGATGAAAAAAGGGAAATCGCGTGTCAAGGTCAGACAAGTTTGACCCCACCGCCGGTTTATTTGCTAAACCTTATTTCAGTCTCAGGGACGGAAATAATTTTTTAAACTTCAAATCTCAAGAAGGATAAAACAAAAAGTAAACTGAAATGTGAACAGCTTCAGCTTCTCTCTTGATATAAATTGCATTATTGATTATAACAATAAAAAAAGGATAATGTAATTTATCAAGAAATGTATGAAGTTTTTTTTTTTTTTAATGTAATATGCGGATTTATTCTTTTCTTAATGTTGATTTCTTTTTTTAAAATTTTTATTTTATTTACTTTTTAGAAAGCATAAAGTTAGTGAAGCTTAATCATTCGTTTTCAACAATGAAATAATTTTAATTTTTAACATTTTTATTTTTATTTTTTTTTCAATTAATTAGCAGTTTAAAAAAAAAACTGCTTTGGTAACATTTTTCACCGTTTTGCAGCAATTTGGATGTTTTTGGATCATTAAGACCAATAATTGTTTCAAACAATGACATTTTCTCCTAAAATAAAAAAAAAAGTCCAGTTTCCATAACACCTTCACAATTCAATTTGACATGGCAAGTGAAAGCAATTTAGTATTTTATATTAAAATTTTTTTCAATATTTAAAACTTAACTTTTAAAAAAATGTATTTCTTATTAAAAAAAACCCAAAATTATATTTTTCTATAAAGTTCTGAGTTTATTTTTTAAGTTTAGACTAAAAACCCATAAAAAGTTCATGAAGATCTTTCTCTTAGTCTTACTCTTAAGTAATCATAACAAAATTCCTGCTTTTAGTTAGATACACTACTATTCAGGATAAAAGTATAAATGTCAAACTGTTAAAAACTGGTTTCACTAAAGATATGTTATCTAAAACAAAGATTAAAAGAAATTCCTATGGGTTTGTGTTATATATTATTCCCAATGAATCTCAGAAAATAAATATTCTTTTTATTTAGCTAAATATAACTAAATTCAAGATTGGTTTTGTAAATTTTAAAGATATTTTTTCTTTTTAAATCAGATTTGATGTGAATATTTTTTTTCCAGTTGAGTATGAGATTATACTTCAATCAATAACCACCATTCCCTTAATGTCTGCATAGAGATCAGTATTTTTGTCACAATTTTGATACATTTTTATAACTTTTTCTCTTATGAAACCAAGAACTTTCAAATTCTTACACTGAAGAGAACTAATGACAAGACAAGTTGCATAATTAATTTAAACAGCCTCTTTAAGATTTTAAAAACTTTTTTTTATCTTGACTAAAAGTTTACACCAAATAATGTTTACTTTTCAATTTGTATGATAGGTAATTAAATAGTCAGTGAATAATCACCTCTCTTAATCTACTTCCATTCATCAATAACTTTCTGAGATACTCTTTCAAGAAGACACTTACGCTGACTACAAGACTTTAAAGACTTGATTTTCCTATGTACAACTTTAGCTACATATTTTGTTGAGAAATTTGATCAAACAACACAGTAATGACAATAAGAATCTTGTACATTGACAAATAACACTGAAATTTTGTTACAGAAAAGTGCTAATACTGAATTTAAAAAACTTGAAGGTTCAAGAGTAATTTCCCATTGTAAGAACAAATGAGCCTAAGAGTTCTTCCTCTTAAAGCAAATAGACTAGATCCTTATATCCAGTCCTGAAATCTAATAATAATTATGTGAATAACACACTGAATAGTATAGCAAGAAGCAGATATCCAATTCCAAATATTAACTTTTATTATAAAGTTTGTGAGCAAATCCTGTTGATCAAAGATCAATTTGACTTTGACATAGCATCAATTACACTGATGATTTGATCAGCATGGCACTTATTCCGCCCTTTGGATTGTTTGAGTTTAAATATATACCATTTAGGTTTAAAAAATACTGTGGCAACATTCCAGCATTTTATTGACAGATATTTACAAATGTTGACTCTGTATAGTTGGAGGACATTCAGTGATGATCAAAATTTTCATAAAATTGATTCAGATGTATTCAAAATTTTAAGTGAAAAAGTGTCCTCTAAATGTATTTTCAGTTTTTCTAATCTAGATTTTCTGAGTTACAATGTGAGTACATATGAACTTTTATTGACTAAAGCTATTTCCATATTTTTTATAGAAAACTACTGTCTAAAACAATATACCTATGTTCTTACAGCATTGTCTCTGTTTGCTCAAATATTCTTTTGGATTAACTGCTAAGGGAAAAGAATCATTCAATAATGTTGAATAACAACCATGTGATTTAGCTGCATTAGTGCACCCACTAATGCAGAAAAGTAGGACATTTTCAATTAGTTACTAATAGCAGTTTGTATGCTCTTGGTGCAGCATTACTTCAAGTCTTAGATGGGATACCAATTTGTATAAGTTTAATCTTAAAGACAATAACTCTGGCCTAGACTAAGTATTGTACTTTCTGTAAAGAATTGTTAGCAGCTTATCTGGCAATACTGACCTTATTGAAGGTTATCAGGTGATATTGCTTACTTATCATAAACCATTGTGAGGGGTCTTCCAGTGCCTAATGTTATCCAAATCAGATAGGCAACAGCAACACTTGTCAATTCTTATAGAATGTATTTCAGATGTGGCACATATTAAACAAAACACCTGCTTGTTATACCCAGCCCTTTTGGTATGATATTCTGTGATATACTAGATGAATCAGATACCAGTAATTTTATATAGGAATTATGTAAGACAATGTCATTGGTTGACATTGAATAGTTTTGCAAAAATTTCACACATTTCTCAAAAATCTTGTATTCCAGAAAACCTTATTTTGTGTGATAAAGTGTTATTTAGGGTGGATTGTGTTTGGAAACCATTTGAAGCACCATATAATATGTAAGAAAATAAAAAACTGAATTTCAATAAAACTGAAAAAAAAAAAAATGGAAGTATTGTTTATGTTTACATCCACATGCTGAATATAAAAGAATTCTATAGGTTCCCAGTATCCTAGTTGTCCAGTCTGCCACTGTTGTTATCTCATCATTTTGTATCATGAACTGTTTTTAAAAGAAATCTAATGTGTTTTATTGGTGGCCTAATGTTATTTAAAAATATCTGTTTAATTGCTGTTCAAAAGAGAAATAATTTTTCTTTTTCACTTGATGAAATCTCAGCCATTTTTTATATCAAAATATTCAGGTAAAATTCCATCTGAGATTTAGTGATATTTCTTAAAACTACTCTCATTTATCTAGAAGATTTGTATTTTAGGGTAAAAATCTATGGAATTTAAAGGTGTCTATTATTGCTTTTTACAACAAAAATTGGACATACAGTTTATGACACTCTTTTTAATTAAATTGGTTATTGTACTTGTTGAAATATTTAATGTTATATTGACTAAGAAATGACTTGTAACTAATAATTACTTCAAGATGCTCAAAGGTTCTATAATGTTTTCATATTATATTTTTGGTAGATGGCAGACATCCCTGCAAATCCAGTTTCCATCAGCCTGGATAAACCACGTTATGACCAGAATACATTCAGTGGCCGAGCCAAGCATTTCTTTATTACCACAAATCCTCTTAATCTTTTCACATCTTCTCAAGAATTAGAAAAGGCAAAATCCATTGTGGAAGGTTATCGGTAAGGTTTTTTTTTTTTTTTTTTTTTTTTTTAATGCAGCTGATGTTAGATATTTGTAAGTTTAGTTTAGATGCCTTACAATTGTAAGTAATGAATTAGAGAAGATCACTGGGTACATAAAGTACAAACTGTAATTATAAAGAATGTTGATTACTACATTGTTATTATAGTATAAACACTGAAAATGTTATATCACTCACAAATAATAAGATTTAGTAGTTTTTCTTTTTGTAAAGAAAATCTCAGTTAAATTCATAAAGTTCATAAAAGTACTGAATTTATAGATTTGTTAATATTAAGTTTCTTAACTGCTACAATCAATAAAATCATTCAATTTGATCCTTACACTTTGCTTCAAATAGGTTTTAGCCTTTTTAAAGTCTATTTATTTGAATTTAATCACACTTAACTAGAATTAGAAACTAAGTTAAAAGGCAATCTTATAAACCAAAAAAAACTGCTCTCAATTATTTTCTATTTGTGTCCTTTCAAGAAGACCATTTGGCTTTTAATTGATGATTCACTAAAATGTTCTTAAAAAAAAAAAATCATGAACTTACTTAGGCTTATTTGATGCTTTTATTTTTATTTATTTATTTTTTGTCAGTTCTTGGAGAATGTCAACCTCTAGATTAAACATAGGAAAAATAGATTGATTTTCGTGTGGAAGCAAAAATAGAATTTTTTGTGTGTATGTAAAATATATATGTGTGTCTTTATGTTGTGCTTGTGTGATTTAGATGTGTTTGTGTCATTTAATGCACACATGATTTGACTGAGTTTGAAATAAGACATTGGAATAATACTTCACTCCTACTCAGTCTGGACAACTGCTACCCTGGACTAAGCAATCAAATCATAAATTTGGAGACAAAAAAGAAACAAACAAAACTTTTCAAACTCCCTCTTTGTTTACATGTGTCTGACTGTGAAATATAATTAAAAAAATAAATATAAATAATCAGATTTTCTTTCTTTTACCTACAGTGTGAGAGCTTTAGTATCTTATTAATTATTTAATTCTGTTTCTATATATTGATATCTGTCTATTCATATCTATCTTTATCTATTCATACCTATCATATATCAATTTCTATCTAATGGTACCTATAACGTGATAGTATATAGAGAGCCACAAAGTAAATATGTTCAGTTTATTATGAGGATAAAGTGAATTTAGCTTAAATATTTTTTTAAAAAATGCCCATAAAGAGTGTCTTTTCTATAAATACTTTCATGGTAATTGTTCAGTTGAGCTCTTTGCTATGGTACCTAGAGTTTTTGAATTTAAGCACAGTACTAGACTGCCATCAAGATTTCCTCAATTTACAGTATAGCTGGCTAGATGTAACCATAAATTCTCCAACAGTTTCTTCTCTTGCACTTCTCACTTGTGGAACTCCCTTCTGGCTCCAAGCTTTCCAGCCAACTTTAATCTGTAAAAATTGCAATGTCAATTGCTATTTACTGTCCACTTGATTACTCTCTCCTATTTCTGCTCATCATTATTGTTTCTGTTCCTAGTTCTTCCACACCCTGTAACCCCTTGTGTTTTAGTGGCATTACTGCCTTGTTTGGGGTGATTCTGATTTAAAAAAAAAAAAAAGAATGGCTAAAGTTGAATGAGAAAAAATAAGGTCGAATTAATTTCTTAAAGTGTTGTTTTAAGCCCTAAAAATATTACATAATTATAGAATTTTTTGTACCTTTCAGAAATTATTCCATAATAAATAAAATTAATTTTTAAAGTTTTTCTTTTTTTTTTTTTTTTAAATATGTAGAAATATTTTTAAGTATATCATTGAATTAAAATATACATGTGTATGCACAAAACAAACATAATATATATATATATATATATATATATATATATATATATATATATATATATATATACATACAAATTTGAATGAAATGGAAATAGATCTCTATTATGACTGCTAACCTTTGGCTAACAGGAAAAGTATGAGCTTTTCAATGTCCTTTTTATGACTATTTCTGTACTGAATATATTTTCTAACAAATGTAGTATGAACAATTTGATCATCTTGTCAACAGGAAAAGACAATACAGAATTTCAAATTAGTTTCTCATACAATTGAACAATTTTTATTTTGACAGCTAATTTCTACCAAAACTGAAAATATGAGTAATAAATAATAACATTCAAACATTCTCTTTGTGATGAATCAGTTATACATTGTCATTTTTTTCAGAATATATTACATTTGATAAATAATATTGTATTTTCAAGAAAGAGATAAAACCAAATGCAAATATAATTAAATTAAATTATATTAATCTGCAACATTGTCAGCACCAACTGCTGTAACTTAATAATCAATTATCCAGATCAAAATCATCCTTTTAAATTTCTTAGTATTTACACACGGCATCTGGGTGCACAGCGCACAAATTCTTAATTTTCACTATTACATGAATACCTTTATGAAATTCATACAGTATGTAATGATGAAAACAATACTTAAAAACTTTAAGACCATGTACAGCCTGAGAGAACAGATATTAAATCTAAGTATTTACTATTTAAGTTTCCTTCTACAGTAGTTAATTGGTTTCATTTGCATATTTTAAGTGTGACATTGCTTTCTGAACATCCTAATATTATGTTATACATGTCTAAAATGCAAAATGTCATATTTTCAAATTCAATTGTTAAACATCCAGAATCATTAAAATAAGTATTTTTTTCTGCATATAGAGGATATATCTAGGTAGCTCTAAGCAAAACATTACCATGAACTGATAGAATGTTGACCAAATGAAGCTGTTATATACTGTCTACTAAATAAAGATATGTGGTGTTGACTATTTATCATTACAGTCAGATTAATTTTAATTTAATTTCAAAAACTTATCATTTTTTGGGATGTCATATGATTTGTTTAATAGAATTAACCTATATTTTATCATTTCAGGTATTAAATTTGGAAATGACTAAAAATTTAACTTTAAATTTTAGAAATGTACCAGGCAAAGCACTCTTCATAGAATATTGTCAAATCATTAAAAGTGAACAGAATGTTAGTTTGGAGGACCATCAAAAGATTCAATGAGACTGTGGATGTGAAGAACAGGCAAGGACAAGGTCATCTTGGAACTGCTTGAACTCCAGAGCTCATGAAATCCACCAGGGAGAAGCTGAGAATAAATCTAAAAAGGTCTCTCAGAAATTTTGCAAAAGAGGCAAATGTGTCTATCACATCCCTGTCAACCATTCTCAATGAAGACCATAAGACGTCTCCTTACAAACACCAAAAATTTTTTCTCTGCAAACTCTGTGGAGAAACAACAAGACAGATGCCAAGTCCTCTTCAAGCACATTCGGACAGGCATGCTATGAACCTTGTGTTCAGTGATGAGAAGAAATTTGAGATTCAAAAGCATTTTAACAACCACAACAACCAGACCTGGTCTCAAACTGGAGACAGTGAACCTCGGACAGTTACTTGAAAACAAGGAGTGGCCTCTGTGATGGTGTGGGCTATTGTGACTGCAACAGGAAAAAGTCTGCTGGTTTTTGTGGAACTAGTGGTTAAACTCAACTGAGAAAATTATATTAAGGATGTTCTTGAGTCATTGTTGTTGCCTTGGGCTAAAAAAACTGACATCTCAAAGTAAGAATGGTTTCCATCATCACCAGGCCTGAATCTTCTTGACTACAGCATTCGGGATATCTTAGAAAGCAAATGAAGTTTCTACTACACCCCATCACAGTTTGGAGTTTCTGAAGGCAAAACTCTTGAAGGAATAGGACAAAATCTGCCAAAGTTTTATCCATATCTCATGCAAGCCATTCACCAAGTGTCTTCAACACAGGAGAAAATATACATATATATGGTATAGATAGTGTAAGAAATAAAATTATGGACATTTAGTTTTTATTGCCACTTTACAAATTTACAAATTGTTTTGTTTAATAAAGATAAACAAAAAACTTTGTAACACTAATTATTGAACACTCTGTATTTAGTATTAATTTCTAAGCAATCTTCTCGGTATTTCTAACAGTTGTTCGTTATTCTCAAATAGGAAAGGAGAAAAATTTCCTCATCTGAGGGAAGATGACATTTGGAAAGCAAAGCATCTTTATGATTCTGCATACCACCCAGATACTAAAGAGAAGATGTTTTTGATTGGACGAATGTCTGCCCAAGTACCAATGAATATGACCATTACGGGATGTATGATGACTTTCTATAAGTAAGAGCATTTTATTTTTTATTGTTTCTTTTGTAGTTCATACAAAACCATCTTTTTGTTTTCTGATATTGAACAATTTTTTTTCTGTTCATAAAAACGCTACTGAGTCTGTATAAAGAGTAGATGTGGTCCTGGTGTGCCTAGAAAAATTTGTAATTAAATTTTGATTAAAAGCATTCTTTTTGCTGAAACAGGCAGTTGTACCTCACTATTAAGACTATGACTGATGTAAGGAGCTTCTTGGTTAATATATCTTGGTTCATGGCTCTGTCCAATTCTTCCTTCACTTCTATGAAGCCATCTTGTATCAAGTGATGAAAATGCAGCCTTATATGATTACATTAACACTTTCAGGTTTCCCAGTTAAACTTGTGTTCTCCCTTTTGAATTCTTCATTCATTTCCTTCCAAAACTAACAATGGAAATTTCAGCCAAATAACTTTCTCATGTTCTCATCAGAACAAAGAATATTATTCCAGTATGTATCTGGTTTACATAAATGCTCCTTTGTAAACCTTTGATGTACCTACATGTGATTTATTCAAAAGTGGTACGTTTCATACTCATAGTTTTTTTTTATTAAGTTCACAAACCATACTGACAAGGACTGTTGCTGACAGGGCTTTTGTTGTAACATTTGTCCTTTATTCAGATCTTTTCCCAACTCTTTGAATGATCCTTGGATGATTATTTACCATTCTTACAATTCTGCTTACAAGAAGAGATACCAGATTGATAATAGTTCTTGTCACAACATATTATTTTCACTTGCAAATTGAACCAATGGTACATGGATGAAGTTGTAGTTCTTTGCGAGTGACTCTATAACTTTTACAATAAAGACTATGATATATCTGGGATTTGTAGAATGTTCTAGAAAATCTACAATTATTTAGGACCAACCACATTTAAATTTACATTCTCATGTGGTATTAGTTTACTCTTCTTATGCATCATTGAATACTTCATTGCTTCATGTTATATATATAAAATTTCATAATCTTATATAAATGCATCTGTTGAAATTTTTGTTCATATGTAGTTTAATTTTGAAGTAAATACTATTTTCCCCATTGTACATGCACTGAAATCTTTGGTTTAGTTTAGATCCATGAATGACACATTTATATACTGGTCCCACATCCAGGTCCTATTAAATCATGTAAACCTAATTAACTCTTCATGATGGTGAAAGAGAACAATAAGAAACTTTGCTGTGTTTGAAAATCTGTTTGTTTAAAAATATAAACACTTTCTGATTTTTTTTTTTTTTTCAGAACTCCAATGGCTGTCATTTTTTGGCAGTGGTTTAACCAGTCTTTCAATGCTATTGTTAATTATACCAACCGAAGTGGTGACTCTCCAGTACCATTATCGTAAGTTTTAATTTATATGAATTATTCAATTATTCCATAACTCTATGTAACCATACATAACACTATGTGTGAGGATAATTTGTATTGCTGTTTTAATGACAATACAATTAGATAATGATTGAAAAATATATACAATATCAATAAAACCAGTTTATTTACTTTTCCAAAAAGAATTTGATATGGTGTGATTGTGATATCTTCTAGTCTGTGATGTAAAAGTTGCCCACCTACTGAGGGAAAACTGACTTATTTAGTAGATGTTGGACTGTGGAACGTTGATATTTGACTTTGTGCTACTAACAGAAGTTGAATGTCATTGGACTGCAATAAACAAAGACTTGATTAGAAAATGAATGGCCAATGTTTAATGACCCATGTAGGTACAAGATGTAGAAGTATAGAGAATGGTTGACCACAAATCTGCCTGAAGTTAAGTAAGGGTGACTGAATCTCCTTTTCGTTGGGATGGCTACCAAACACGTCCAAACACAATGGGTGGGAAGTAAGAAGAAAATGATCTTCTTTTTGGAAGTGAGGTCATGAAGTTCACATGTGACTGGAAACTCATTTTGGTTTCTTTTAACATTATGATTATTCTTTTATTATTATTCTCTTTATTAGTTTTTCATCCTCTCACAACTCTATGCAAAATAGGGCAAGTCTATTTTGCCTGTATCACAACACTTCCTGGAAACAAAGAAGTTTTATGCTTCATTGATCTATGACTTCTCTGAACAAAAGTACAAGATTTTATCTCTTTGTCTTGAGGTGTGTACCTGGTTCTTTTTATTGGGGATTTTGGTCTAGATTCATCTTCATTCTGATCTTCCAACTTCATGACAGATTTGTGCAAACTATCCTCCATTTCTTTACAACTATGTTTGTTTTCCTCCACCAGATGAACTGTTTTCCTCCCTTTCAGGTTCCTCCTCCTCTCACTTCTAGGTCTTATTTGGTCAGAATGAGCTAATAAATTTGTCCACCTGTTGCTATTATGGCCGTATTATGTCCCTTTTGTGTAATAAAATTAACTTTTTCAGGACTTGACTCTCTGTCTTTTTTTTTTTTTTTTTTTTTGTACCAAATTTCCTCATTTATTAAATAGGACATTGCTACGGATGATCTAATTTATCTTCCTATCAATGCAGAGGGACTTTGCATTCTACCAACATCAGGAATAATTCTATAACTCAATAATAGTCTTGGTAGATAACTATGTATGGTGTCTCTGGTTGGGGAAAATGCCTTCAACCCAATTTTCACGGTCTGTACCATTCTTTCTGTGATTCCATTTGATTGCAGATGGTATGGTGGTGTTATAAAAACAATCCAATTTTTTTAACCACAAACACAAAGTTTGTCTGAGACTAATGTTTTTGGCACACCAATTCTGGAAAATATTACTCACAATATTTACTTTACTGTGGCTGTCTCCCTATCTTAAATTCAAACCAGTTCAGGCCATCCAGATAATGAGTCAACCAAAATTAAAAACAGTCCTATGTCTTTAACATGCACATGATCCATATAAATGAAGACCCATGGCTCTTCATTTTTTTCATGAATGTATTTTGGTTTGGCAAAAGTTTTTTTATTTTGTTACATTTTGGGCATTTTGTATGCATTTCTCTGCATCACTAGAATATCCTTGACACCATACTTCTAATTTTAATGTGTTACTGTTATTCCACAATGAACATCATCTTGTACACTTTTTATTGCATCTTTTCTTAATCTCTCTGGTGCATATAAGACCCTTCTGTATAGTTAACCTGTGCCTTATCTCTTTATCTCCAATTGTTTCTTTTTATTCTACATGCAATATTGCTTAATACCAAACTCTGTAAGTTTTCAAATGCAAGACAATCTAAGAGTAATACATCTATTTCAATCCAGTGCAATTCTGAATTTTCATTGTTGAACTTTAATCTTGATAGAGCATCTACATGTGGAATAGTGTTTCTATGCCCATATTCAATGTCAAAGTCCTTGAAAATGCAACTTTAGGTAACTCCTTCCTGGGATTAAAAATAAACTCTAACAGTGGTCAGATCTTAGCAGAAACTTCCTGTTTAATAAGAATTAGCAAGCTCTATCTGTGCTCCTTATGATAGCTAATACTACTTCAACAATATTTGAATAGTTAGCCTCAGCTGACATTAACCTTCTAGAAAGGTACATTATAGGTACCTTCTTGAGACAAAATCGTAGGGTATAAGTTCTTTCTTTAAATTTTCAAATGCTGTATTCTGCCATTGAGTCCATTTAAATTTGTTCTTTTTTCATAACTCCACAAAAGGTTCTATCAATTCACTATACTTTGACAAATATCTGCTATAAAAATTGGATTGCCCTAAAAAAGATTCCAATTCTTTTTTATTTATTGGTTTTTCTACCTCTTTCTTCTCCTTCTTATCATAAACCAGTTGGGACAAACATGCACGATTGATTGATTGGTGGCATCAGTATACAATTTATAGTTCTTATTTGGGTTGGGATAAGCTAGTATCACCATCTCTGGGAGCTTCATTATTAGACTATCAAAAGCAGACTAGCATGTGTCATCCTATTAGAAATGTACACATTTCCTCGTTAGATTAATTAGCAGCTTGGCAATATTGGAAAAATTTCTAAGGAAGTGGTGATAGTTTAAGGTGATCCCAATGAAAGCTCTTACCTGTCTAATGGTCATTGGAGTTCAAACAGACTTCATAGCCTTGACTCAAAATCTGGCTGTATCCCCTTCTCGCTAACTTTGAAACTCAGATTTTGAGTCACTTAGAGAGTTTCAATTTGAGATTATTCTTCTGAAAACTACCCACGACACTATCTATATGTTTTAAGTGGTCCTCCATCATATTAGAGAATATTAAAATGTCATCCAGATATGCTAAAATGAAATCTTCCTGGCCCTGTAACACAATTGACATCACTTTCTGGAAAACACCAGGGATGTTTGCTAGTCTGAAATGAAACAATTCCCGGTGGCAAATGAATGCACTTTTCTCTCTGTCATCTTCCTGTAGTTTAACCTGCCAGTACTCCAATTTTAAATCTAGCTTAGAAAAGTACTTTGCTGACCTGAGTGATGTCAGTATGTCATCAATAACTGGAAGTGCAAGAGCGTATTTCTTTAATTTTGTTCAGTGCTCTAAAACTAACACAAAATCTCCCACTAGCATCTTCCTTTTCCACTAAAACTATTGGAAAACCCCCACAGGCTCTTGGACCTCTTGATTATGTCTGCCTGCATCATTTCATCAACTGCTGGGTCAATCATTTTTCTATGTTTTGAGCGGTGTGTGATTCAGACACCTTTTGGGGGGGGGTCATGTGTTCCTGTATCAATACACATCTCCACAGTATCAATTTTGTCCAGGTATTTTTCTTCACTAACAAACAAGTCCCTGTTTCTATTCAGCAGCCTATCAACTTCTAGCTTGAATTCCTCTGATACATTAGTTACTGGCCACTCTGTTTTCAAAGTGACCATTTGATTAGTGTTGTTCATTATGAGCAACAGGATCCTACGAGGCTTGCCAATTTTTACCACTGCATTAACCATTGATACGCCACTAAAACTGCTCACATATCCACTGCTCAGTTGTTCTATCTCATATTCTTTCCACCACTGTATGTAAGTTTCACTGTTATTTGTTGTACTAATCTAATTATGGACAAGATAAAGATGTCTTCTTCTAAGGTTATATACTCTTCCCCAATTCTTAAAGCACCCAAATCAAATTACCTCCTCACCCTGTTTTGCATAAGCCAATCATGGCCAAATATTACATTTCTATTAAGATTCCTCACAATGAAGAAATCATGAGGGGTGGACTGATTTCCTATTTAAATGTGCAACCAAGAGAGCCCATCTGCCTGCAATGGGTACCTGTTAGCAGTCTGTAAATTAACGCCTTTCCTTTGCAGTTCAGGCCCCAGTTGAAATGCTTTATAAACTCTACTGCTTATGACTAATACTTCTGTTCCTGTATTTACCAAAGCTCTAAAAGTTCTATCTTCTATCTTAATGGAATTTGGTGCACTCATATTACCAACTGCCTTTTTCCCAGGACTTTTCATGTCCCAAATCTCTCAATATGACCTTCTTCACCACAGTGCCAACATCTAATAACACAATTGATTCTTTCTATCCCACAACTTTTATATCTCAATCCATTAATACTTCCCCACTTACTCTTTTACACCTACCCTTAACTCTTTCGGTTTTATCAGGACTCATGGCTTGCATTGTGCCGAATTTTGCACTTCAAATCAAATAGGGCTTTCTGATAAGCTGTCTCCAATGTTAACAGTTCACCCTTTATCACCACTATCTTAATATTTGGTCCCTTAAGCCCTCTGTGAAGAATCCCAACATTTGTTTCCTAATCACTTGACTTCCCCCATCAACCCCTATGTATGCGCTCTCTGCCAGGCGTACTACCCTCTGCATGTAGTCCTGCAGTCCCTCTGTCCTACCCTGCTTAACAAGAGCTAGCTCTACTATATGCACATTGGGGTTGGAAACTCCATCATATTAGAGAATATTAAAATGTCATCCAGATATGCTAAAATGAAATCTTCCTGGCCCTGTAACACAATTGACATCACTTTCTGGAAACACCAGGGATCTTCTAATGATCTCTTTAACTTGTCCCACGTAAGCCGTGAGTTATTATAGACAATATTGCCCGACTGAAGCCCCCATTATCAGAAGAACTGCTTGACATTTGTCTTCATCTACCACATGTACAACTTGAAAATATTGCTGCATGTCCTCTAACCAAGTACTGTACACCTTATCTCTATGCACCAGTGGCTGCATGTTTTTAAAAAATGACTCACCGCTCAGCGTGTTTGTCACCAAACAAGCCATGTTTCTTCACTCAGCAATCAGACCCTGAACAAAATCAGTGAAAACATGTTGTTTCATATTAAATCTTACAAAACTAACAAAAGAAAAAATTTTCAATATGTAAACAAGAGCAGAATACATGCAAG